AACTAGGTGAAATCATTATATTAAAACTAATTATTAAAATTAGTTACTCTTAATAATGAAGTATTTAAGGACCGCAGTGGAACCTTATTACCCGATTTCTTCTTTTTTCGATTTGTTGAACAACTTTTTCCCTTAAATAAATAAGATACGATTAGTGGTATATCTACTTTGTTCGTGGTGGGTCACATTCCCCTAACAACATCTCTCATTATATAAAAGCAAAAGATTTTTGGCACTATTCTTTCAACAATGTTCCCGCTTAGAAAAGTCACCATCAACAAATAGTGCAAAATAACAAAGAAAAATTGATATCTCAAAACAATAAATAAAAGAAAAAAGAATTCAGAACAAAAAGTATCCAAAAAGAAACATATCTCGGTACACGTCATGAAAAAAGTTAGCTGTGAGAGAACTTCATTCGTACATGTGCACAGTAGAAAGTTAAAAAGTAAAAAAGTGCAATAAATGTGATTGGACATCAGACAGCTTTAGCTACTGTAGCACTTTAGAAATATGCAAAGTAGCCTCGATTATATCTTGCCAGCCTGATTGAGTCGGGGCATGCGTATCAACACCTACAAAAAAATTAAAAAATATCAAGCCCATCAAATCTTGCCTGCTTATCCTCGGGACATGCGAATCTTCCTTAGGAAGGATGGTAAAACTTTACCTTATAAGTACCAGGGAACTCATTTCAAATGAACAGACCACTCAATACTTTACTTCTTCTCTTTTGCTTGAATTTTTAAGCCCGAATCAAGAAAATCATCCCTATATATAAATACACACACTTCCAAAAATATTAGAGAATAATATTCAATTGAAGCTATTCTTTAGTTGATGAGAACTGGAAAGTATAGCAACGTAAATTACTGAAAGGAGAAAAGCAAGTGGGAATACAACTCTAGAAGAATATGCAAAAGAAGGAGCCCAGACTTCTTGCAAAGAAGCAATCATCTACACTAAAGGAGTGTTTGGAGCTTTGGTTCAATTCATCCATGTATTCAATGTTATCTAATTCGAATCATAATAGAAACACAAAATCAAACCCAAATACATATATACATGCAATATGAGACACAAAAACATAAGCACATATGTGAATGAAAATACATATCAATTTGTTTGGTGTAAACAACATTGACAGTTAAGTTTAAAGCAGTTTGTGTTTACACTTGCTTACCAATGTCATTTGAATGCATACATATAGTTGAAAGCAAACATCCAATATTTCAACTATTTTCAAAAGGAACTCTATTAAGAAATAAATTCAAAAGCAGTAAGTAATCACCAACCTTTAAATTTATTATACCGAAACTGATTTTGATTTCATTTCAGTGTACCTGTATTGTTTTCTGTGGGTACAAGTAACCTATTTAATAGATAAAGAAATTACCAAGTATTGTACGGAGTATTACTTAACATAATAGAATTTGACTTAATTTTTTGGGTACAACTTGATCGATAAAGAAATGACATTGTGTGTAGACTAATTCTCAAAATAGATCTCATTTGATTGATAAAGAACATTCTGTAAATATAAGCTATTAGTAAGAAAGATACACATTATGCTCTCTTTACGGGCAAAAGTTCAGTATTTACAAAGTTAGGATTAACGTTATTAGTTTATTATTTTATTTTGTGATTAACTACTTGTGCCAGATCTTTGTGTTCCAAATTAATTGGTAGTGTTTAAATATCATGTATTATTTCAATGTGTGAATTACGTTCTCGCTAACAAACAATGACTTGGAAGTATTTATACAATCCAATGGTGGCTTGGAGGTAAAAGTCCTATCATACAGCAGGTCATTCGATAAGCAATGCCAGGCATTCTACTGTGGAATGTATGGAAAGCTTTCAACGCATGGGTGAGGGACAACAAAATTTTCTCAAAAAACATTACAATCACAGCAATCAAGGCTTACACCAGGGACTGGATTTACTCAAATGCTCACAAGAAAGGGTTTCATTTTGATACAGATCTACACATGGATGGCTTAGTTCCATACATCAAAACGAAATCAAGTAACTCGATGGAACAGATAAGATGGCACACGGAACAAGCTAGAAACCTTACTCTCAACACAGATGCAGCATTCACTGGAAGAAAGTCAGCAGGTGGAGGAATCCTTCGTGACAGCACTGGACACCTGGTACATGCCACGGCTTTTCGAACGGCAACTTATAACCCCCTCCATGCCGAGTTGGTCACCATACGTACCTCAATGTACATCATGATAAAGCAAGGTTACAATCAATTCGACGCCCAAACAGATTCAGAAATTGGCGCGAATATGATAAGGGGTTCGTTGAAAATATCTGAATAATTGAGAGGTGAGGTTAACAACATAAACGAATTGAGGAGATCCAATCTCATCCGCATCGTTCATCGTCCCCGGCAGGCGAACTACGTAGCTCACTTCCTCGCAAAACACGGACTCGGAATCCATGGCCACGAACCGATCTATTTCACAGCGAACAGCCTACCTACACGAGCGAAAAAAGCTTACCTAGAAGACAAACGGGGGGTTGTTTATTTCAGAGACACAGGCTGATTTCACTTACTCGGCGGAGAGGAGGGATGAAGATGAAACGGTAGAATAACCTAGAACTCTCTCTGTCGATTGTTTGCGGCGCAAACCCTACCGAAAGACAGACATTCCTTACGGATTATCTATTTATCAGACTGGGTCACCCTTTTTTGGACTCTTCTCTTCGGGCCACAGGATAATCTCTTTACTGGGCCCAATTTTCAGGCTTCTTAACCTCCGGTAGATTTCTTATTTGGCAGCTTAGGTGATTTCTTTTTTTTCTATCATCTGTTTTAATATGTGATGTAATCCCTCTTTTTTCATGAATAAAAATTATGTTTCTTAAAAAAAATCAAGTTCTAAATTATAGGCGTAGTAAGAAGATTAGAAAGTAGCTTAGGCAGAATAGGAAGAGTTTAGTCAATTCAGGCAAATAATGTATTTCAATACAACACTAAAGATTACATTGAAATATAGGTAAATAGGGCAATGTTTACACAGCTTGAAGCATTCCGATTAATGTTTTCTACAAAATTTTAAACACTGCATAAAACCCATGTATGACATCTGCAAACAACACTTAGCAGTAATAGAACTTGTAAAGAACAGAATTCTCTACAAAACAATAGAGTTCTCAAATTAATAATACTAATTGTTTAAGACAAATAAGGGCTTGCAATTTGGGAAGTACATGTGCAAACTTTGTTCTTTGGCTATCTAAAATACGCCAAAAATCTGGAAGGTCGCCAACATAAGTTTTAATTTGAAATAATATACTCACATGTGCATCTTAGCATTAAATGTTAATTAGTTTTATGTGACAAAAAAAATCAGGTATTATAGTTAATTAGTTTTATAAAATTTGGACCTTTATTTGAAATGAAAATTGGTTTCAATGCATTGGAAACTGATTCTAACCAAGAAAAGAAGGGATTCTCTGTGGAACATGAAACAATTGTGTATCACATTATTTGTTTAAGAATTGGTCATTGAATAAATAGGCAGTTTCATAAATTACCAGCCAAAAATCTGAAATTCATTGATACTCACGAACAGTTGCTTACCTGCCAAAAACAAAGAAACCTTAGCAACGATAGATTTACTTAGGAATGAAAATGGAATACAAATGGATTACTGATAATCGCTCACAATTCTTAAACATAATGCTGAGGTTTGGTTTTACTAGGAATAGTTTTCCCGGTAATGTGTAGATTCGGCCTAGACCTCGAACTGAATCAGTCTCAGCAATACACGCTCAAAATGAAACAAATGACAATTAAATTATTTGTTACTAGACTGATTTAAGTGATTTTGGATCAAATATAACACAATACACACGAAATACAGGCATGCACTTACGGATCTGGAGATTTCAAGCGAAACATTTGGATGACCTCCACTTCGAGTCTCGAGATGAATGTACCATGCGTACGAACCAAATAGATCTCCACCAAAGTCTCACATTATAATTCATTTACGTAGCTTGTTATTATCCTTATTGTACTACATCACTATCCAATAGTTTAGTTGTACTATATCACTATTTTTCGTAGCCTTAGCACAAATAATTTCATTGATTGTAATAAAGCATATGATGCTATTTGTCATTCTTGTCAAATGGGGAAACATAATAAATTACCCTTTTCCTCATCCTATTCATATACACATGCTCCTTTTGATATTGTACACAGTGACTTGTGGACTTCTCCAATTTTAAGCTCCACCGGTTACCGGTATTATATTTTATTCCTTGATGACTTTACCAACTTTCTTTGGATATATCCTTTGTCTCAAAAATCTGATGCCTTTTCCAAATTTGTACATTTTAATACTTTTGTGCAAAATCAATTTGGAATATCTATTAAAACGTTACAGTGTGATAATGGTCGTGAATATAATAACTCTTTATTTCACAATTATTGCTCTAACCATGGCATATCTTTTCGTTTCTCTTGTCCTTACACCTCCTCCCAAAACGGCAAAGCCGAACGAAAAATTCGTTCCATTAATAATATTACCCGCACCCTTCTCCTTCATGCATCTGTCCCACCAAATCTATGGCCCCATGCCGTTCTCATGGCAACATATTTACATAACATTCTTCCCTCCAAATCTCTCTCATATGCCTCCCCCACACTCGCCTTATATCACAAACAACCATCATATTCTCATTTACGTAGCTTCGGTTGTCTGTGTTACCCTCATATTCCCACCCCCCACAAACTTGCTACCCGGACCACTCCGTGTGCATTTCTGGGATTTCCTTCTCACCACAAAGGATACAAATGCCTTGACCTAACTACACACCGCATCATTATTTCCCGTCACGTTAATTTTGATGAATCCAACTTTCCTTTTAAAAATCCCACTCCTGTATCTACACCGTCATATGACTTTCTCAATGACTCCCCATCCCCCTTTATCTTATCTCAATTATCACCCACTCCCACAAACGGCCCCACACCCATTATGCCAACCTCACCTTTATCCCATTCATTACCTCCAGACCAACCTCATTCCAATAATTCCCCTCTTACAGCCCCAACCTACCCAACATCCAATAATTCCCCGCCAGTAAACAACAACACCCAACCTACCCCACATCCGATGACTACCCGTAGCAAGGCTGGCATATTCCGCCCCAAGTCAGTATTTAATCTCAACTCTCACCATAACACCTCCCTCATATCCTCACCCCTTCCCAAATCACACATTGACGCCCTTCGTGATCCCAACTGGAAATCAGCTATGATTTCTGAATTTACGGCTCTTATTAACAATAAGACGTGGGAGTTGGTTCCCCGTCCTCCCAATGCTAATGTTATTCGGTGCATGTGGTTATTTAAGCATAAGTACAGGTCCGACGGGAGTCTTGAGCGACACAAGGCACGCTTGGTAGTCAACGGCAGATCACAACGTCCAGGTATTGATTGTGATGACACCTTCAGCCCTGTTGTCAAACCGGCCACCATCCGTACGGTTCTCAGCATTGCTCTCTCCCATAATTGGCCACTTCATCAACTAGACGTTAACAATGCTTTCCTTCATGGCTTTCTTGATGAGACCGTGTACATGCATCAACCGCCGGGATTTAAGGACTCTTCACGACCTTCACATGTGTGCCTTCTGAAAAAATCTTTGTACGGTTTAAAACAAGCCCCACGGGCTTGGTATCACCGTTTTGCCTCTCATGCTGCCAAACTGGGTTTTCACCATAGCAAAGTTGATCACTCACTCTTTATCTACCATAACAATGGAGATACTGCCTACCTTTTGCTATACGTCGACGATATTGTTCTCACGGCATCAACTCCAACACTTCTTCGTAACCTTATTTCTCAATTGGGGGCTGAATTTTCCCTTAAAGATTTGGGTCCACTAAGCTTCTTTCTTGGTATTGCAGTCACTCGCCAATCTGGACGGCTTGTTTTATCCCAACAAAAATACGCCTCAAAAATTCTTCACCGAGCAGGTATGGCATCCTGTAACTCCACAAGCACCCCGGTGGACACTAGGGCCAAACTCAGTGCTGATGACGGCCCACCAGTACCGGACCCCACTCTCTACCGTAGTTTAGCCGGAGCACTTCAATACCTCACATTTACTCGTCCGGATATTTCTTATGCCGTCCAACAAGTCTGTCTACACATGCATGACCCCCGGACCTCTCACTTTGATGCACTAAAACGTATTCTTCGATACGTTAAAGGCACCATGTCTTATAATCTTCACCTCCGTCCTACTGCCACGACCAGCTTAGTTGCCTACAGTGACGCCGACTGGGGTGGGTGTCCTGACACCCGCCGGTCCACATCTGGATATTGTGTATTTATGGGTGATAACCTCATCTCATGGTCTTCCAAGAGACAAACTACTATTTCCCGCTCCAGCGCCGAGGCCGAATATCGTGGAGTGGCCAACGTTGTGGCCGAGCTGTGTTGGCTCCGTAATCTTTTAACTGAGCTTCGTCATCCGATCTCCAAAGCTTCCCTAGTTTATTGTGACAACGTAAGTGCCATATACATGTCACAAAATCCGGTCCAACATCAACGCACCAAGCATATTGAAATGGATATACATTTTGTTCGTGAACGGGTGGCTCTGGGACATGTTCGCATCCTTCACGTTCCCTCCCGCTTTCAATATGCCGACGTATTCACCAAGGGCCTTCCACGTATTCTATTTGAAGAATTTCGGTCCAATTTGAACGTTCATTCAACCCACGATCAAACTGCCGGGGAGTGTTAGACATAATAAATTGATGACATGTCACATACATGCACATGCATGTACCATGCGTACGAACCAAATAGATCTCCACCAAAGTCTCACATTATAATTCATTTACGTAGCTTGTTATTATCCTTATTGTACTACATCACTATCCAATAGTTTAGTTGTATTATATCACTATTATTACGTAGCTCCATTTAATGTATAACCGATCCATAGCTATCGGATATCAAGTGTACATAAGCTATATATATTCAATGAATACAACACACAACCTTACGGTGAATATTATATCTTCCAACTGAAATTACACGGGTTGGTGAATTTGAGTATCCAATACGGCTCCGTTGTTGGAGGAGACGACGGTGGAGATGGTATACCAACCGGATTTTATCGTTTGGGATTGACCAACTTAGGATATGAGAGGTCATCGCAGGTGATTTCTGATGTCAATTGCGAACAACTTCACGAGATTGGTGTTCAATGCAATGGAGAGATCGGCATGCGTATGGCTGAACATATCAGCGTGTGGAGGGGTTTGTGGTCGGCTGGTCGCTGCTTGACTGTTGCGTGGAAGGTGTGTTGATGTAATTCGGCCGGATAAACCTGCAAAAAAATGTTAGAAATAATAATATAGCTCGAGACGCGTCAGACGCTGTCCTCAAGAAAGTATTTCCGACTAGCGAAAACCTTTCCCCAAGATATAACGAGCTCTTCGGCGTAAGCCGGTAACAGAACAACGAGAGTAGAATAAAATTAATCCAGCAGAGTTGTAATATATTAGGGGATGTTTTAGCTCGAAATTATTCTTTTTTCTTCTTCTCTATCGCCCTCTTCCTAGTCTGGCTGAACACACATATATATAGTTAAAACTCCAGCTAGAACGTACGTTGCCGCAAGAGTAAAAAGTTAATCCATAGTGTTTAAGACTAACGTTCCAAGCATTAAAAATTTTAATCGCTGAAAAAGTTACATCTTTAATTTCACACGTTTAATGTTGCTAACGTTCACATCTTAAATTTCATTACACTCATTGAAAAAGTGATTAAACATTAAAGAATGTTAATGTAACGTTATTACTTTGAGAGCTCAATCATCAACCATTTATTAACTTTATATGGAATATATGAAAATATAAAATTGATTAATTATTAGATAATAGAGATAATGATTTTATATATTTTATTCATTTGAAATACTCCCAATTTTTCCAACAATCCCCCACATATTTCAAATGAACAGTTTTAGATTTTTAAAATAGTTTATAAAATTTCTGCTGGATTAAAGGAATGAGACATTAAGTTTGGTGTCCGTAGACTATGAACCAAACCAAGACGATTAAGTCTTAATAAACCGAGCTTTTGGTGAAACATATAGTTTCTATGAACCAACAAGCTACTATTGGTAAATCAGGGTCTTAACGGTCGTGTCTCACCCCGCACAATTTCTCGTTATTACGTCGTTGTGCGCCGTAAGGCCATGCGCGTGCTTGGTGTTCATGAGTGCTCTAGAAGTTTTGTCATGCTTCATGGAGGCGGCCCCACCTCACACTCATATAGGTGATATCATCAAGTGTGTACCGCTTTTGCACACCACCCTAAAATTAAGGGCTATGATAATCATTAAGAGCTTTTAGCTCAGCCTCTCGAAGAATGCGGTTTCTAGCCTATATCTCACATCATGGAAATAGGCAATTTTAGTTAGGCTAGCAAAACTAAATGGAAGACTTGTTATTACCCATATGAACTTGCTTCATGGGATCTCCAATCACACAAGTTGGGTTCCCATCCCCATTTGTTTCAAAGTGACACTAGTGCCATTTCCTTCAATGTTTCGGTTATCATTTTTCGTCCTAGGGATTCTGTCAAAGGAGTAGCTAATTCCTTCTAACTTCAAAAAATTAATGGAAATAATTCCATTATCAAACATCATTGCACAACTTTTAAGGGTGAATGGTTATCCACTATTTTAATTTATCTCATTTGAGTATACTCAGATGCCGTCGTTGTATCTCGACAATACAACGGATAACTCTCAATAAAATATAACATCGATGTGACCCTCTAGTACATCGGATAATTCTCAATAAAATATATACCATCATTGTATCTGATGGAGTATATGGGTCTGAGCCCCCGGACCCACATACTCGGAAGAACAGAAAGCACAAGACACAGAGTGGCGCCCTCGTCGGCCAAGGGACCCCCGTCGGCCGAAAAGGTGCCAACTCAGATTATGGTCCTGAAGCCAAGAAACCCGGGTGCCCTCGTCGGCCGTGCCCTCGTCGGCGACGCCCTCGTCGGCCACAAAGACCTCACAGAACCGGATTCTACACTTACTTATTTGTACAGCCCATTAGTGGCTTTGTATTCGGCCCAGTAGCGGTCCAGTTGTAAATGGGCCTCCCAAGCCCAAAGCTTGGGAGCCCAGCCCGTATTTTCTCTATAAATACTCCCCTTGGGAGTAGTTATAGGGGTTACAAAATCATTCTATTGAAGCATATTATTGCACTTCTCTCTCTAGCTCTCACTTCTCTCTAGATATACTCTATCATTTGGTGCTCTCGTTGAGAGCTAGAACAATCAAGTTAGCACCCTTCGTCGCTACCAAGCACAACTAACCACTGATCATGGAAAGAACTAAATCAAACCGCAACCACGTCAGCAAGGCCATCCCTGAGGACCAAGAGCCCAGGGAGCACGATGAGGACGCCACGGCCGACTAGGTCGGCGGAGGGGACCTCTTCCAGGAGGCCTTCAACCTCACGACGGACCTCCGCAACCAACTCAACGGCGGAGCCCCTGATGCCCGCCTCGGCTTGGACAAGAAACGAGCTGAGAAGACGGATCGCGCCCCGGCCCAGCCTATGGCCGCGGCCTCTCCGTCCGTGGATCCACAGGTCCAGGCCGCGCTGTCGGTCATCATCGCCAACCTGGCTCAGAACCCCACCGTCCTCAGCGCACTCTTGCCAAGGACCGGGGGGAACGTCACTCCACCTCCTCATCCCCAACCGTTGGCCGTCCAGATAGGCAACGATGAGGGGGTAATGGCCCAGGACACGGCGTCGTTCCACTCCCACCCTGCTTCCCCTCTTCGGCCCGGGCAGACCCCAGCGCGTGGAAAAGCCTCTGCCTTCAACAGGCTAGGTGACACGCGCCGTCGTCCGGTTTCGGAGAGGATGGCGGGACGGTTTGGCGAGCGTCGGCCTGGCTCGCCGAGGGAAAGCTTGGGGTCTGTGTCCCGGACAGCGGACCAGCCCCGCCCGGACAAGGGTAAGGGGAAGCTGCACGAAGACGACGTGCACCACCAGATCAATACGGCTCACGACGAGCGTATGAGGAACCAGCCGGGCGCCGCTGCGGCCGCCAGGGACCCCCGGGACGAGGTCATCGCCCAGCTGGAAAGGAGGTTGGCACAGATGGAGGCCAAGCAGTCGGCCAACATCCCTACGGCCGACGCCTCCAACGACCCCGGCCTCAACGCGCTCATGAACAAGGTTAGCGCCCTAGAGAGGGAGCTGGCCGAGGGGCGAGGTGACCCCATCATCCAGGTCAGGACCAGGACCCCTTTCACCAACAGGGTCCTCTCGGCCCCCATCCCGGAGAAGTACAGGGGAAACGCCATCAAGTCCTACGACGGCCGATCAGACCCCCAGGAGCACTTCAGCCGTTATCAGAACAACATGCTGATGGTGAACGCGTCCGACGAATACCTCTGTCGTTGGTTCCTCTTTACTCTCGAGGGGCCAGCGTACGAGTGGTTCAACGCGCTCCCCGAAGGGAGCATCGACTCATGGCAGGATCTCGCCCAACGCTTCCTCACCCACTTTGCCGGGAGGAAGCGTGCGAAGAAGTATTTCACCCACCTTCTCTCCATCAAGAAGCAGCACGAGGAGTCCCTTCGGTCATTCATCGATCGGTGGACGAGGGAAACCGAGGAGGTCGAGGGGCCCGATGAGCGCACCCTCCTCGCCTTGTACCAGGGAGCCCTCCGCAGCTCCCCGTACGCTAGGAGCCTTATCACCGACCCTCCGAGGTCGTACGCCAAGGCGCTCCAGCGCGGAGGCTTGTACGCCGACGCCGATGAGCTCCATAATCACAAGAAGGAGGGGGCCATCCCTCCAAGAAGACAAATCCTTCGCCGGCCCCGGGTCCGTCCCCGGCCGGCCAGGGTGCCCAGGGCCGTCACGGATCTGGTGGACAGAGTAAGAAAGATCGCCACTGGCGGCCGAAGTTGGAACGGCCGGGGGTCTCCCTCACTCACCCGGTCGGCACCATCCTCGATTATGCCGAGAAGCACGGCCTCATCGAGCAGGCTCCTCGGCCGGCCGAGGAGATCCTTGCCATCCAGCAGGGCGGCACATACTGCCGGTTCCACAAGAACTCGTCGCACAACACCGACGATTGCATCACACTGAAGAAGGTCATCGAGCGCCTTATTCGCTAGGGGAACTCTCCCAGTTTGTTAAAGGTGGCCCACGCAAAAACACATGGGTAAACACCGGCAAACATGGGGGCGAACCCTCCGCGAAGAAGCGGGAGATTGGTAGGCTCAGCGACGACGAGGACTTCGAAGAGCCCCCGCCAAAGAAGAATCACATTCACCTCATCGTAGGTGGAAACACTGGGGGGGACTCCGCCACTCAGAGAAAGAAATGGGCCCAATCCCTCTACATTGGGGAGGTGTCCCACGTTCCCCCCTAGCCGAAGAAGCGGCGGACGGAGGCGATCACCTTCACCGACAAGGATTTGCCTCCGGGTACGGAATCACACAGGGACGCCCTCGTCATCCGGTGTGAGATCGGTGACTCCATCATCCACCGCACTTACATCGATACGGGGAGCTCCGTCAACGTGATGTACCTGGATACCTTCAGGCAGCTGAAGCTGGACAGAGCTCTGCTGAAGCCGATCAAGACACCGTTATCCGGCTTCACCGGGGACTCTATCGACGCCGAGGGCACGATAGTCCTCCCCGTGGAGGTCAGTGACGGCCCCCACCACGCCAGGATTGACATGGAGTTCATGGTGGTCAACCTCCAGTGCGCCCACAACCTGATCTTGGGGCGGCCAGCGCTGGAGGACTTGGAGGCCATCATCTCCATGAAGCACTTGTGTCTGAAGTTCCCCACCGATGACGGCATCGGCTACGCCAGAGGAAACCAGAGGATAGCCAGAGCTTTCTACCTCAAGCTAACGAGGCCGGCCGAAAGGGAAGGACAGAGGATAGACACCATCACGACCGCCGTCGCCACGGACGAGGAGAGGCCACATGCGGAGC